GCTTTGGGGGCTCAGGGTCCCTTCATCTCCAGCGGCACCCCCTGGAGCCATGCTGTAGGTCTGTGCCAGAAAATGGAGACGGGGAAGAGGTGGTCAGTTCCTGCCACCACTGCAGGCCAAGATGGTGGCTGCATTGGGCTGGAGCCTGCTCAACCACATGCATCTGTGCCTGGAAGCTGAAGTGGGGGCTGTGAGCTGGGCTATTGCCAGCATCACATGTGTGTGTGGGGGGGGGGAATTGTCTAGCCACCAGCACAGGGGATCTGGTTGAAAACAAGAGCTCCAGAGAAAAGCCTTGACTGCTCACAGATTGCTGGCGGCAAGTCCTCTCCCCCCCCCTCGGTCCTGGCATACTGGGCACTCTCTTGCATTGTCATGACTTTGCTGGCCCTAGGTGGAGTCCTGGCTGCCTCCAAAGTGGTGGGGGACCATGGAAGACAGCAAGGGAGTCTTGCCTCCCCCTCTACAGCCAGCTCAGTATCTCCTAGACCTAGAGTCATCCGAAAGGTCTGCTGGAAGGGCTGGTGAGCTCATGATGGTCTCTCTTTCAGCTCTTAAACCCTTGTTCCCTCTTGTCTCTCCCTCCACTCCACACATACTTTTTATTGTGGTCCTGTGGTTGGTTAGCAGAGAGAGGAATGTTAGGAAGACTGCCAGTTGCCAAGAAATAAAAAAAATACCCTGCAAAAATGGGGCGATGCAATAAGTGACCTGTCGTGGAGCTGGGCAAGAAATGAACTGGAGAGATGTTGTTGGTCCCACTTAGATAACCCCTTCTCATCGACTTCTTCCTGCCCAGCGATGTGAATGGGCAGAGACGACCCATTTATGGATCCCTCCTTCTCTGCAGGAAAACCTAGGGTTGCATCCAATGCTAGTCAGAGTGGACCCATTGAAATGAATGGACATGGCTAGCGTAGGTCATTAATTTCAGTGGGTCTGCTCTGACTTGGTTGCCTACACCTTCCAATTGTTCTTGCTTCCTGTGCTGCTTATAGGCTTAAGCAATTCCACCAGCCCCAGCCCGTTTCCTAAGTTTCCTCAAAATGGTTAAGAAAATGCACACAACCCATAATTAGCTCGTGACATTCACTATCATAAGATATGCTTGCTGGCAGTGGCTTCTTAAAAGGATTAAACAAATCCTTGGAGCAAATGTCAATCATAAACTATTAGCTGTAGCAGCAAATCTCCATGTTCAGAGGCCATATGAGAGCCTGGCATAGGGCGCTGGCTAACTTTTCGCTGGGGCCTACTCCCTAGTCAGTGTGCTCAGGATTGCAGTCTTAGTGCATAAACAGGTTCTATACTTCCTTCCCTGCAGCAGCGAGTGGTTACTGCAGTTATGCCTTTTGAATATGCGGTTTGCTTGCACTACACTCCCATCTGCTGGAGATTTCTTAAAATTTATTTGGATTAATATAAGATTGCCATGTTGGGCCATTATCACAGATTTCACAGTCTGTAAAATAAACATTGGGGTATTTCTGCATATCAGTAGCTGTCAGTTGGATATATGTGACTGCATACAATCTCACCTAGACAAGATGGCAAGGTGATAAAGAAAGCTGTGCATACTGATGACCATTTCATCCTAAATTTCTGGATAACCCACATATACATGATAATATTATTGTGTTTGTGATGCAAGGAAAGAAAAAACTCTGGAAATTCTTAGCAAAATAACTGAAACCTAGGCCTACAGCCAGTTCAAGGTAGTACAACTTTTACTGCTGTTAATTGTGCAGAATCCTGGGCAGAATTGGTGTGATATTTCTGATCATGGAACCATTGGAGAGATTATATTTTGAGTGGTGTACCATTTTTTAATCGTACTATTGAGTGATTTGATGATGGCCGTTGGCTAAGCAATACAAATTTCAATCTGTTACCTCTGAGGATGTGGACAGGCTGCTTGGATGAGTGAAACCGACCACCTGTCTCCTTGATCCTTGCCCATCTTGGCTCATAAAAGCAAGCCAGGCAGGGCTGGGTAATGGGCCCTGTAGGGTGGTGAGTGCTTCCGTCTGTGATGGAGTTTTCCCAGACCCCCTTAAAGAAGCTGTCATCAAACCGCTTCTTAAAAAAAACATCTTCAGACCTAGCCGCTAGGGCCAATTATCGCCCAGTCTCAAATATTCCATTCCTGGGCAAGGTAATTGAGCAGGTGGCCGCAGAACAACTCCAGGCACACCTCGAGGATGCAGACTCTTTGGACCCATTCCAATCAGGTTTCAGGCTTCATCATGGGACTGAAACTGCCCTGGTCATGCTGGTCAAAGATCTCTGGCGGGCAAGGAACAGAGGTGAAAACTTTTTCCTGGTCCTGCTGGATCTTTCAGAGACTTTTGATACTGTCAACCATGGTATCCTTTGGACTGTCTGGGAGCTGGGGGCACTGTTATGTAGTGGTCTCGCTCCTTCCTCCCGGGTCGTGTCCAGAAAGTCATGGGGGGGGTAAGTGTTTGGACCCCTGGGCTTTCACTTTTGGGGTGCCTCAGGGCTCTATTCTCTCCCTCATACTTTTCAACATCTGTATGAAGTTGCTGGGGGAGATCGTCAGGGGGTTTTGGCTGGGTGTTCATATAGCTCTACCTCTCATTTAAATTGGAACCAGTGAAAGCAGTGAATGCCCTATGTGTCTGGGCAGTTGGGGGGTGGATCGTGGCTAACAGATTGAGATTGAATCCCAACAAGAGAGAAGTACTATTTCTTGGGACAGGGGGCGAGCAGGTGTGGGGGATTCCCTGGTCCTGAATGGGGTAACTATGGTCATAAAGGACCAGGTGCATAGCCTGGGGACCATTTTGGACTCACAGCTGTCCATGGAGGGACAGGTTAATTCTGTGTCCTGGCTGTCTGTCTACCAGCTCCATCTGGTACACAGGTTGAGACCCTACCTGCCCATGAACTGTCTTGCCAGCATAGTGCATGCTCTGGTTATCTCCCACTTGGATTACTGCAAAGTGCTCTACGTGGGGTTACCCTTGAAGGTGACTTGGAAACTGCTACTAATCCAGAACGCAGCTGCTACACTGGTAACTGGGAGCAGCCGCTGGGACCATATAACACCAGCCCAAAAGGATCCACATTGGCTCCCAGTATGTTTCCAAACACAATTCAAAGTGTTGGTGCTGACCCTGAAAGCCCAAAATGGTCTCAGCCCAGTATACCTGAAGGAGCGTCTCCACCCCCATCATTCAGCCTGGACACTGAGATCCAGCTCCAAGGACCTTCTGGCAGTTCCCTTACTGTGAGAAGTGAAGCTACAGGGAACCAGGCAGAGGGCCTTCCCGGTAGTGGCACCTGCCCTGTGGAACGCCCCCCCCCCACCAGATGCCGAGATAAAGAACTATCTGACTTGTAGAAGACATCTGAAGGCAGCCCTGTATAGGAAAATTTTTAATGTTTGATATCTTACTGTCTTTTAATTTGTTGGAAGCTGCCCAGAGTGGATGGGGCAACCCAGTCAGATGGGCAGCATAATAATAATAATAATAATAATAATAATAATAATAATAATAATTGTTGCAATTGTTAGTATTATTATTATTATTATGAGTGCAGCTATCTTCTTCCCTACCTTTTCATTCAACTTTTAATCCTTCCTCCTAGCTCGAGGATCAAAAATCTTTTTCATCCAAAAAACACATTCCCGCCTGGGCAACATCCAGGGAAGTGGGAGGGGGGCATTTGGCACCAGAAGTGAAGGTAAACAGAGCAATGAATGCAAAGATCACCTTTGTACAACAGGTGCTGCTTTCTAAACACACACACACACACACACACACACACAGTGGTATCAGCACTCCAAAGGCAAACCCTCAGGAGCGTGCAAGGCAGGGTCCTTAAAGGGTCTGACCGTGTGGCTGGGGAGAGTCCTGATAAGCCAGAAAGAGAGTCCTAGCAGCTGAATCCCACTCCCAATGCTGAAGTTCTTCACCCTTGTCCAAGCTGCTTTTTTGCCTCCTTCGGGTGAGATAAAAAGCAGACAACCCACCATACACGGAACATGTCTTTATTTAATAAGCAAGCAAGCACAAAGTATAATGTGTAGTGCTTAAATATTCTCAACAGTACTAAAAATATAAAAATAAAGTTTACCAAAAGCCGTTTCACTCACAAATATACAAGGAGTGCTGTCAAGCCACAAATTTTTTGACACCATTTGCCAACACCTGCACTGATAGACAACTGCCTCCCTCTACCCTAAGGAAATGATAATTGATGCTTGTCCATCTTTAGAGATTTCAATGAGCCATCATGAAGGAGGGCTGCCAGGGACAACCTGAAGAACAGCCCCCTCTCTTAACAACCCCAAAGCTGGCTTTCTGTGCCAGAATTGCCAGGTTTGTAACCAGGGTGTTCATAGGGATGAAGTGAGGCCACCTGTTCCTTCTGTGTGCCCACTCCCTGTATTCCTGTAATAAATAGGAATATCACACAGTCCCAGGGTGGGTGTGCAATTGCAGAAAGGGCAGCAGGTTATGCACCTACCAAATTCTCCGCTTCATCTGTAAATTTACTACAGTGTGGATCTCCAGGCTGCAATCTTATCTACCAACCCTTTCTCCTCCCATTTCTTGGAGCAAGTATGACATCTGCACTGCTCCACAGAGAGGGATCATCCACACAGAGGAAAATGTGGATTTGCACTGGTCTGTCTCCCCCTTAATGTAGGGGCATCCACATGATGCCCCCCCATCCCAATGCTGGCCTGGACTCCCCACCACCTAAGTGTGTGTGTGTGTTAAAAAAAACAAAAAACATTGGCAAGGCTAAAACAAACAGGACTGAAAGGGAATGCATGTGAAAGGGAAAGGCCCAGGCAAACACTAGGATGGGGCCCACATTCTGTTCTGGTGTGGACAAGCCCTTTGTGGGAGAAGAGGGTGGGCAACAGAACTGGAACTGGGTTGGTGTAGAAGGAATTTTGGGTTGTATCACGGTCCATGATCACTAGGTTGTTAAAGAGGCAAGATGGTTCTCTGGATTGTGGTCTAGCAGCCCTTTATCAAATCAGAAAAATGAAAGATAATTGATTCTTATATTAACAAGCAAACCGCAGGCTATAGACATAATCTTTCTGAATAGGTATACATAAATTTATAGATAGTAAGCACACATCTTGGCTTTCATTCTGATCTTGTGTGTGGCTGCTCTTTTCAGTTTTCAACTGCACGCTCTTAGTTTGTTTTTCACGTCCATCAGAGACGTGATGTTGACTAGAAACTGCTATACTGTGCTTATGTATTAGAGTATGCCTGCTATATCATACATATGCAGTCTTTATTCACATGGGCACTATGAAGAGACACCGCACCCGCTAAACATTGCTTCACCACCACACGTTGCTGATGGGAGCTGTATTGGCTGCTCTGGAAGATGGTTTCAGAAGGCCAGAATTGTAGCTCAGGGGTGCCGAATTCTCAAATGTCCACTGTATCTGCAGAAATTAACTTCCCAGAAAGATTCACTAGCAGATCAAGAACAGATTTTCCCATTCTTTCTGGTCAGCTGGCAGACCTAGTCATAACTGATGAATGAGTGTTTGACATTTTATTTTATTTATTTATTGAATTTATATACCGCCCTATACCCAGAGGTCTCAAGGCGGTTCACAGAATTTCCAATCTTAACTAGATTCTCAACCTATGGGGTGGGCTGAATGCAAGGTGGGAGTGGAGTACATAAGTACCAGTGAGCCCTACTGTTAAAATCTTGTTTCCGTTTCAGTTCAGGCTCATCTGTACCAGAAGGTGTTCTGGTTTCACTCAGATTCATGCCAGTCAGGGTTAGGTAGGTGGGGCAGCACAACTTCAGAGCCTGCTCAGCTCTGGTTCATGTAGGAAAATGGAAGTGTGATTGTTTGAAGTATTATGGGCCTCCCTTTACAGGAGTTTTTATGGGTTACAATAAGTTATTTATGCTACAGTGGAGCAAGGCTAGTTAATTGGTCTAATGAGATATAATTTGGGCCTAGTTCCCACTGTGGTGGTAAATCTGTTTCTGGATTGTTGCACTTCAGACTGCAGGTGGGGGCTCACGTGAGATAACGCTTCTCCTTATATTAACAAAAAGGAAAACAACCCAGAGAGAAAATTTTGTATCTTGAAGAAGGGATCTATGATGCATGCATATGCTTCATGGATGGATGGATGGATGAGCACTCAGTCAGAGGCAATCTCTCCTGCAGCCTCACAAACAGGTCTACTACCTCAGCTACGTTCATCTAAGTATTTGTTCAGATTCTGTTCTGGTTCAGTTTCAATAGAGACTTTCAAATCACAGTCTAGGCTCTGTTCACTGCAGGAATTTTTTTCCTTCTTTTTCTAACATTCAGACCATGCCAGACCATGCAGGCAAGTGGATAACCTTCTTCAGTACCATCCCTACTCAGCCTTGTTTCCCCTTCCAAGCCGCACTTGGTGGGTGGATGTCTGAGGGGAGCTGGAATCTGGCAACAAGGTGTGGGGAAGGGGAAATGATTTAGCTCACCCTCACCCAAAACTTCCAATATCCTACCTCAGTACAGATATCCTTCCATGATACAGCTGCAAACACAGCTGCAATTATTCCTCTCAGCTCAACCATCAAGCAGATAACTGGCATCTGGGGATCTGAATTTGAGGCACAAGGTGTAAAAGTGTGGGAAACACTGTCCTTATTGTGAGACAATTTGTCATATGGAACCCCCAATACCACTGTTTTCTGCAAGCAACTGGAAAATATATTGTCCTCAAAATTTGTAATAGCCCATAATGGAAAAGTGCTCATTGCCTCATACACAACAGCCCTGTAGAGCCTTTCTGATCACAAATTGAGAAGTTGCTACTAAACGGTTGCTTGGACTTTTCCAATTGCCAGAACCTCTGTTGGAGGGAAACCCTGTTTTCCCAACACTCAAAAGAGCAAGAGCGGAAAGGGGTAGAAAGTTGATGAGAGACAAAAGAGGAAGAGCCTGCACTTAACCATCACACGTTGTCCTCCTTATCTTAGTTATGAAAGTAACGCTGAGTGCTTGACACGCACACACTAAGGTAACATTTAGCACATCATTTCAGCCTGTAACCCATTTTCCTTTGAAACAAACTTGTCTCTGGTTCACTGAAATTATTTGAGGTTTCCACTGAAAAGCTTCCATAAAGTATTTTAAATACACAATGACTCTGAAAAGGTATACATCCCTAAACTGTGTATATACTACATACTTTACATGTGTAGAACGTGTTCCATAGCAGTCAGGTATTCCTGGCATTTATCTCTTTTTTTTTAGAATGCTTTCATTTACAGAGGAAGGACGTTTTCTCTTATTTGTGTTGACTCTGTTTAGGAACAATGCACCGGGAAGTTCTTCTGAAGGAGCCCTAGCGACATGAATGAGAGTGGCAACTGTGCAGCCATCTTCCCTCCAAGGAAATGGGCTGGGGGCTTTTTAGCAGGACTGACCTATGGCATTTTGCTGCCTGAGGTGAAGGGCAAGATGGTGCCCCTGCCACTTACAGAAGCCAATTCAGACAGGCAGTTGAATCTTAATCCAGTTGTGGTGATGGGGCAGTGTCCTCCATGCTCACACCTAAACCAGCAAGCTAGTTCAGGGGTCAAGACATGCTCTGCCCGCCAATGCAGCGGAATGGCTGGAGGACTTAAGAGCTACTGCCTGCCCCTCCAGCACTTACCACCTTAAGGTAGTCACTTCACTTTGCCTAATAGTAGGGCTGGCTCCTCTTCTTAATTTAGGGGAAAATACAAGTAAGGCACCACGCTCATGAATGTGCCACCTTTGACTCGGATAACCTCCCTCTCAATTCCCTTTCCTTGCCTTCTGGATTATAAACCTAAGGGGCAGATACTTTGTTGTTCTTAAATCCATCATTTCACAAATCAGTTGTGCAAAAAAGTGCATAGAGCTTTCCAGAATGGGCTGAACTGAGCTCCATGATCCTTTTCTGAATGCTGATTCCCTCAGGTAATATCAGTGCAGTGCCTCACTGCTGATCTGTTTAAGCAGCTCTGGGAGTCTTTTGTTGAATTTGGGGGCAAAAGTGCTTTAAGGAAAAAAACTTACTTCTGAATAAGCACCCGCCCCCAGTGCAGTCCTATCCCCATCTTACCTGGGAGTAAGAGTCCTATTGAACAAATTGGGCCTTACTTCCAAGTAAAGCACATGTGGCCAGTTCCAGGTAGGGGCTTGGCAAAGGTTTTTGTCTTGCTTTAATGTCTCTACAGTGGTGCCTCGCAAGACGAAATTAATCCGTTCCGCGAGTCTCTTCGTCTTGCGAAGCACGGCTATTAGCGGCTTAGCAGCTATTAACGGCTTAGCGGCTTTAAGAAAAAGGAAACAAACTCGCAAGAACTCGCAAGACGTTTCGTCTTGCGAAGCAAGCCCATAGGGAAATTCGTCTTGCGGAACGACTCAAAAGACGGAAAACTCTTTCGTCTTGCGCGTTTTTCGTCTTGCGAGGCATTCGTCTTGCGAGGTACCACTGTATTGCCTGTTTGGTTGCAGGCTGCTTTGGGTTGCCCTGGGCGAGATAAAGTAATGAGCAAGTAAAAATAATTTTACAGCTGTGAATGGTGCCAAGACAAAAAAGAAGCTCATTTTCCCCCTCTCATGTCCAAAGAGAAAGAAGGGCAAGAGGTTCAGAAGAAGCAATGGGGTGGGTGGGTGTTATTTCTTCATACAATGCATCATTAACCCATGGAATGAAGGGCAGTGAGCAGGTGATGCCCATAAACCAACAGAGAAAGCTTGTTGTGCCTTTATGCGTGTGTAAGCCAGGGGTGATCAGCCCAGGGCCACACCTGAAAAGCAAACACTGAACTAGGTGGAGCACTGACACAATCTTGCAGGGCTCTTCTTACCTTCACTTCCCAATGCACGGTGCCTTTTTTTTTTAAGTATTGATATGTGCAACAGGTATAGTGTTGTGTCCAGCAAGTAATAAATGAATGCAGAAAGCACTTCTAGCTGGGATCCCGATATCAGAATCATGCACTTTTGCTTTATGCTTTATAAATAAAAGTCAAATGTGAGGTCACACTTTCCCATTTTCTGTTTGTAAACCAAATCAAACTTCTCATTCATGGAGACAGTGAAGATGTCTTTCCACAGCCCAACACGTCCTGGAAAAGAGAGAGAAATTGAGAACCAGAAATTAAGCCGATAATCATTGACAGGATGTGGCAGGACCTGTTAACAAAAACAGCAAGTGTCGTCCTCCAAAAGGGCTAGAGAATCCCCCCCCCCCGCCCCGCTTGCTGGTCACTCTCTCTGCCCCTGTAATTCCTGATAGTGTACATCAGGGAGGGTGGGGAGCATCAGGCATGGGGGCCAAATGCACTCCTCCAGGCCTCTCTATCTGGCCCTTGGATCTCTCACCAAGCCACTCCCCCATAACCAGGCCTGCTTCCCACCCCCTGGAGAGCTTTGGCTTATCTGGAACATGTCCTTGAACTCAAACGCCTCTTGTTTGCCTGCATAGGGGAGAATAGATGTAAAATTGCCTCGCCCACTTTGGCCTCTGGACCACTGGCGGAGGAAGGGGGGTGCGGTGGGTGTGGTCCACCCTGGGTGTCATTCCTGAGGAGGGGTGACATCGCCGCTGCCCCCGGGACACTTGCTGTGGGCGGCACCCCCCTGGGACGCTCGCAGCTCGCCGTGGGTGACGCCCCCACAGGTGGCTAGCCCTGCCCCTGGATGCCGTAGCAGCTAGCTCCGCCTCTGCTCTGGACCCAACCCACCAGTGACAGGCGCCCCCTAGCAGCTGCCTAGAACGGTGAACAAGGTCCCCCACCCCTACACTAGAGAGGCACAATCTCCTCCTTTGGATGTGACTGGCAACACTCTTGCCCACAAAAATGTTGGCCGCCACGGTGATAATTTAAATAACAAGTATTATGTTTTGCAGATAACCATTTTCCAAGGATGTGTATGGATAGCTGGTCGAAGAGTCACCCACCTGGGTTCATGAAACTGATTTGTGATGGGATATGGAGCAAATGTAAGGAACGTAAGCTAACCCATGGCCTGCTCTCACAGCAACGGGGGGGTTATCTTCTGAGTAAAGGTCAAGGAGCTAAAAGTGGAGGGAAAATGAAAGAAACCCAACATAAAGCAAAATAATGAAAATGTAGCTGGTGGTAAATTAAACAAAGCAATAAACTAATTTTAGGCTGATCACAGAATTTTAAATTGCACAAACAAATGAAAAAAGGCAGGCAGAAAACACATATTGATATTTAGGCTGGATTTTGAATTACGGAAAATTATCACAAATGCAAAGCAGCAAAACAAACAAATTTTAAAAAAGAAGACATGTATGGATAAAAGGCAGGCAGTGAATAAGTCTGAGCATATATTCTGAGAGAAAATGTCTAGGCCAAATGAAGTTCATTCTGGAGGTGGGCTGTTTAAGGGTAGGACAGAGTGCCGGTCCAAAGGCAGTAAGGTGAAACCAAGAGAACAACTGTGGCCAGACAGAATTAGCAAAAAGGTGACAATTTGGTTGTTCCTCTTTTGGATACCTTGGGCTGAAGACGGACAAAAGAAGGTGGGAGAGACAGAGCCACTGTATCCTCTGTTCTGCAAACACATTCATTACAATAAGCTGGTATTGGTGTTTGTGGGACAAACCAAATAAATATGTGCTCCACAGTGGCAACGTCTCTGGGCCATACTAGAAGTGACAGTGGCAGTTCAGTTTGTTTAAACATGAAATAGGGAGGGGGCAATGAGGGTGGGGAGAGAAGGGGTGTGGAAGATCAAATTTTAAAAGTGAAAGGTGTTCATCGGTGAGGGGAGCCGAGCCGTTGTAAGGAGGGAAGTTCCATTTTTCTTAATCATTTGCAACCCCCCCTTTCTAGATCATCAGAACAGCTCATATCTAGGAGGGTCTTCTTCTTATGCCACGTTCCACACTCTGAAGAGGTGATGGGCTGTCTCCAGCCCAAGAGGCTCAGTGCGAAGATGCTTACTTCCATTTGTCTCCACTGTCCTACTCTGTCGGTTTCCTTCTATTCCCCCAACAGCCCACTGGAAAAGCCAGCGCATTTTGAGCCAATCCATACATCAGGAAGCATGTGGTACAGCTCTTCCATTGACAATTTCCCTTTCCCAAACCCAATGGTAAAAAAGGACCAACAGAAAACTAGTATGCCGTGGAATCATCCCGAAGCACTATCTTTCCATGCTTAGGGAGGTGGTTTTTAAAAAAGGGGTGAAAAAATCCCAGGGAGCATTTTAATATCTACAAACATAAACTATTGCTTTCCAGTCCCGAAAAGGTTCTACTACATGCTTCTGAATCTGTAGGCAAGCTCCTTGGCATCATAGTAATTATCTGACGACAGAAAAGGGTACAGCACTCCTATTCAACCTCTGTATCTGCAAGTGCTGCAGTTGCTGAGGCCCAAAAGACCCATAAGGGTCACAGCACCTGCCTTCCACTTTTGCAAATATTTGCACTATATTGTGCCGCACACATACCCCTGCCCACAGGAAGGGCTTCTGCGTTGCAGCACTGGTCAATGAGCTGGTGACAATGCTCCACCATGGACTCCAGCTGTGCTTTGTCGTAAGAGACGCCCAGGAACCTCGCCAGCTGTTCGACCATAGTTGCCAGATCCTGTGACAAAAGATTATGTGCACGTGCCAATAAAGAGAAAAGCCAAAAAGAGAGGAAGGTTAGCAATAACAAATGAGCCCTGCAAGCAGGCATAGACGTATGTGTTAGCAGAGTCGAGAGCAGCACCCTAAAATCAGTGGTATAGACTCA